AGAGGGGAGGGGGGAGAGAGGGAGATTGTGACGAGGAGATTTTCGGTTTTCATTCACTTTTGATCTTCTTAATGTATATATAAATGACCCGGAGAGATTGTACTCTTTTATTTCAACAAATCTGGACATTCTCTGCATCCTCCCTATATGACGTGTGATTTCCATTGGACAGGTCCTGACTACGTACTGCCATCTTTCTGTACTGAATCTCCACGGCAACAGCATTTGTCAGCTGACAGAAGTGGATAAACTCGCCACCCTACCCAAACTGAAGAGCCTCACGCTGCACGGTAACCCCATTGAGGTGGAGAAGGGGTACAGGTGAGCGCCCCCACCCCCCCCCACATTCACAATGTAACTGACAACACGCACAATACATTTTACCAAAAAAAAAAGTACATTTGTCACAAAATGGGGCAACGAAGAATCGCGGAGGTCTCCGTCAATTATATATCATTATTTTATGTACAGTACCGTGCACACCATCTGCCCTGAGCTCCCCAGAAATATGTTCTGTTCCTCCCGACTCCCGGGGGACTAAGTACATGAAGCACTGTGTCCCATCGTCATTGGTGCTGTGGATGCCGAGCTAGAGTGATTGACAGCTCTCGTCTCCGGCAGCAACACTGAGGTTTGAAGCGCCGTGGTCAGCCATGAAAACAGTGCAGAGGATAAAAGACACATCATGCTGCGTAGACCCCGCTACACCCATCTACAGTCCAGGGAAGTCTGGTCAGGGGCGGTCTTTATGGAGGACTTATGGCTAGAATGTCCATACCTCCAACATGTATACAAGGCCAAGAGACTCGTCTATGCACAAGAAAGGAGGTGCTGGTGAATGGCAGCAGGTACTCGGGACTCATGAGTCCGAATGTGAAATATTTGGCTCTAACATAAGGCAGTTTGGCAAAGGGCTGGAGCACGGTGCATGGACGAGTGTCTGCAGTCAACTGTGAAGCATGGTGGAGGTTCTTTGCAGGTTTGGTGCTCCATTTCTACACAGAGTTGGGGATTTGGTTGGAATTAAGTCTCCCGAATGCTAAAGAGTACCGATACTTATCCATCATGGAATACCATTGGTGAGGCGTCCGATTAGTACCCAATCCATTCCGCAGCAAGACAATGACTCCACACGTACATCCAAAGTCATAAAGAACTATCTTCAGTGAAAAGAAGATATAGCATAACCGAGCCCTGATCTCTAGAAGAGACGGTATGGCCCCCACAGAGCCCTGATCTCTAGAAGAGACGGTATGGCCCCCACAGAGCCCCGATCTCTAGAAGAGACGGTATGGCCCCCACATGATCCCTACAGAACCCCAATGTTTGGAAGAGGCGGTATGGTCCCCACAGAGCCCCGATCTCTGGAAGAGGCGGTATGGTCCCCACAGAGCCCCGATCTCTGGAAGAGACGGTATGGCCCCCACAGAGTCCCAATCTCTAGAAGAGACGGTATGGCCCCCACAGAGCCCTGATCTCTGGAAGAGACGGTATGGCCCCCACAGAGTCCCAATCTCTAGAAGAGACGGTATGGCCCCCACAGAGCCCTGATCTCTGGAAGAGACGGTATGGCCCCCACAGAGTCCCAATCTCTAGAAGAGACGGTATGGCCCCCACAGAGCCCTGATCTCTGGAAGAGACGGTATGGCCCCCACAGAGTCCCAATCTCTAGAAGAGACGGTATGGCCCCCACAGAGCCCTGATCTCTGGAAGAGACGGTATGGCCCCCACAGAGTCCCAATCTCTAGAAGAGACGGTATGGCCCCCACAGAGCCCTGATCTCTGGAAGAGACGGTATGGCCCCCACAGAGTCCCAATCTCTAGAAGAGACGGTATGGCCCCCACAGAGCCCTGATCTCTGGAAGAGACGGTATGGCCCCCACAGAGTCCCAATCTCTAGAAGAGACGGTATGGCCCCCACAGAGCCCTGATCTCTGGAAGAGACGGTATGGCCCCCACAGAGTCCCAATCTCTAGAAGAGACGGTATGGCCCCCACAGAGCCCTGATCTCTGGAAGAGACGGTATGGCCCCCACAGAGTCCCAATCTCTAGAAGAGACGGTATGGCCCCCACAGAGCCCTGATCTCTGGAAGAGACGGTATGGCCCCCACAGAGTCCCAATCTCTAGAAGAGACGGTATGGCCCCCACAGAGCCCTGATCTCTGGAAGAGACGGTATGGCCCCCACAGAGTCCCAATCTCTAGAAGAGACGGTATGGCCCCCACAGAGCCCTGATCTCTGGAAGAGACGGTATGGCCCCCACAGAGTCCCAATCTCTAGAAGAGACGGTATGGCCCCCACAGAGCCCTGATCTCTGGAAGAGACGGTATGGCCCCCACAGAGTCCCAATCTCTAGAAGAGACGGTATGGCCCCCACAGAGCCCTGATCTCTGGAAGAGACGGTATGGCCCCCACAGAGTCCCAATCTCTAGAAGAGACGGTATGGCCCCCACAGAGCCCTGATCTCTGGAAGAGACGGTATGGCCCCCCACAGAGCCCCGATCTCTACTTTAGAGTCTGTCTGGTAATGAAATGGGGATGAACATACAGGAGTAATAGAGGTCCTGGGCTTAGTCCTCCTAGATGTTTGGAACAACCTACCTGCCGAGTTCCTTGCATTGTGTGGCAGTGTAGCCGGGGGAATTGATGCTGTTTAGTGATTTAGGTTTTGTGCGTTTGCGCTTTGTAGCTTCTTAATATTCATTCTTCTATTTTTGGAAGTGTCCTCACCGTACAGCATTTTCCTCCGCAGGTCCTACATATTGTCCGTCCTTCCCCAGCTCAAGAGCCTTGACTTCAGCGCCGTCACCAAGCAGGACAGAGTCGATGCCGAGGTCTGGAGCCAAATGAATCGTAAAGTGAAGAAGTTACGGAGGACGAAGAAAGAGTGATGGGAGCCTCCACCTTCCATGTGCAGGAGGAGACCTCTACACAGAGCAGACACATGGAGGAGACCTCTACACAGAGCAGACACATGGACATGGTGTGAACACTAAAGAGAGTGAAGTACTTTTGATGTGTTTTGTGCAGTTTGTAGTTATACTGTGTGTGTATATATATATATATATGTATGTAGATGGAGGAAGCCATTTCCGCACATTACATACTCAGGTTCTGCTTCCTCCTATGTAGCGATCGCTTTACTGCTCCTTCTCACATCTCAAGTGACTGACCCTCTAAATCAGTGGTGCCCATTAGGTCGATGGCAAAGCGAACACTGGTAGATCGCGATCAGCTCCATGACTAGCGGTGCTAGTGCGGCTGAATGTGTCAGACACCGCAGACAGGAAGTGGTGGAACACCTCTCCCCGTGTGCCAGGTCAGCCACATGGGCACCGCGGGAGGACAGGACACCGGCGCACGAGAGGCGATCCGGGAAGCTGCTGCTGCAGCGGAGGTAAGAAAAGACAGACAGGAGAGAGAAGAGACAGCAGATAGAAATGGGAGAGGAGAGAGGGCTGGTTCACAACACAAAGTCTGCGTCCCAGAGTGTTTGGCCTCTAGAACGCACTGGAACACAAAACGGCCAGCTCCCTGCGTTCAGGGGCGTGGCAGTGCATTGAAGTCAATGGCACCGCAGCCACTCCTTCTCTATGCAATGCAGGCTGATCATGGCTGGTGGGAGGGGCCTGGCAGGGGGCTGTACATTGCTTTCTAAAGAGAGGGGAAGGTGTAATCCCGCCCTAGGGTGACAAAGCCGTTCTTCCATAGATACAGCACAGTCCGGCTTTCTCTCTTTATTTTCCTCTAGTGATCCTGCCGGTAACACACTTCCTGTCCAGGGGTGACAACACTGCTGGCTCAATGCAGGGCAGTGAGCGGTCACCCCAGGACAGGGTCACTAGGGGAAAATAAAAGGCTGGACTGGATTGTATCTATGGAGGAGCGGGCCTCAGCAGGGGGCAATGTGCTGCAGTTGTAATAAAGCTTTTTAGATAAAGAAAAAAAAAAACAGGACGTGGAGGTTTTTTGGTTGGAATGGGATATGTTGGGGGAGGAATGGACCCGAGTGAGTCGGTACCCTGAGCCGGACGATTTATAAGGAATAGAACTGAAAATGTGGAAACAAATTTACATCAAATATTTTAATTACAATAATATAACATTTCCCTTCAAAACAGCAAAAAAGAAAAACTAAAAATAACCAAAAATGGTGAATAATTGTACATTTCTGTAAATAGATGTATATAGAGAGCGGCACCCGGCCAATCCAATCCCCCCGATTCACCCGGCCATTCCCATCCTCCCGATTCACCCGGCCAATCCCATCCTCCCGATTCCCCCGGCCAATCCCATCCATCCCATCCTCCTTCGCCAATCCTCCCGATTCACCTGACCAATCCAATCCTCCCGATTCACCCGGCCAACCCAATCCTCCTGGTTCTCCTTCACCTGGCCAATCCCATCCTCCCAATTCCCCCGGCCAATCCCATCCTCCCAATTCCCCCGGCCAATCCCATCCTCCTTTCGCCAATCCTCCCGATTCAACTGGCCAACCCAATCCTCCCGGTTCTCTTTCACCCGGCCAATCCAATCCTCCTGATTAACCTTCACCCGGCCAATCCAATCCTCCCGATTCACCCGGCCAATCAAATCATCCCGGCTCTCCTTCGCCAATCCTCCCGATCCACCTTGGCCAATCAAATCCTCCTGATTCAGCTTCACCCGGCCAATCCTCCCGATTGACCCTCAGCTCCCAATAATGACAGATTCGGGGAAATCTGAGGAATAAATTTAATCTCTAGTGCCGGGAATTAATAAAAAAGGGTCAAACAGATCGGGGGAAGGGAGGGGGAGGGGTCTCAGATCTCCAATATTCATCATCTTACACGGATTGCACATCAATTGATATCGGCACAATGAAACAAACAAAAAAATTCTTCCACTCTTCCAACTTCGCAAAAGTTCCGACACAAAGATTCAAAAAGTTTTAGTAGAATTGTGTAAATGGCGAGATTTGGGGGGGCGTGGCCTCGGTGAAGTGACGCCATTCGCGTTGTGACCCAGATCAATATCCCGCCCGTCGATCCTCCGCGAGGGAGTGACACCGAGGAGGGTGCAATGATCGTCCCTCTCGCTGTCACTCGGTCCGGGAGAACCGACGGGGTGAATATCCGTCACATGATTATAACGCTTCGAATGGAGAACACCGAGGAGCCGGGAGATGGAGGCTCCGCCCACAATGGAGATGTACGCAGGGTGCAGGGACACAGCTGGTTATCTTAGAACCGACTGAACTGTCACTTTAAAATCAGCCGAATACATTCCGGGGACATCAAAATCCTGTACAACGTCCTACAGATCATTATACCACAGCCTGAGTAGGAGCCTCTCCCCTGCCAGTAATGGTGCAGAGGCTCACCCCCTGCTCTCTGAGGAAGCAGTGGTCTCTCTGCAGAGATGGATCCTTGCTACTCAGGCTGCGGCTGATTTCTAAAGAAGATGAAAGGTAAGGACTTGTTTGTTCTGATGCCCCCGGGGAGGTATGGAGCGGATCCATCGGAACGTTCGGTTGGACTTTCAGGAAGTTGACAGTTTCCATGAATGAACATAAAACAGTCGCATTGTGTTCAGGATCCCCGCTGACTGAGTGCTGGCCATTGCCAGGGGGTGATATC